ATCTGGTGCTTCCTAAACTTCACACTGAACTCAAAATCCCTTAAGCCTCATTTCCCCTCTCCAGCAGCGAGAACAGCCCTTTGGTGAGCCCCAGAGGGGCCCACAGCCCAGGCCAGGCTTGACTAAAGCAGGGCAGATAGGGCTGGGATAGGAGAGCTGGTTCCTTAAACCTCCCCTCCCAGCCATTCATCTGGCACCTGTGATGGCGACCGTGCCTAGACCAGTAGCGATAGAGATATTTTTGCACAAAGCCTCTTCAAATCTGTTTTATTTCAAATTTTTACGGCTTTTTAAACAATTTGATTTTCGAGCGCAGCCTGAGTTGTTGTTTAATCTATTTCTTCCTCCTGAAATTCACAAAATATATATTTATTAACCTCTCCCCAAATAACTGACTGATTCTGGTTTATCCGTTTAAATGGGTACCTCGATGTAAGAGACTTATTACATGCATTAGCTGGTTCCAAATTCACTACTTGTTCTCGGGCTCTACACCACCCATTGACCCTTTCCCTTAAGGTCCGAATGTGACAAAGAGTGTGAGTGGGCGTAGTACAGGTGTAGGTTTTCAGCCCAAGTTCCGACGTGGCTTCCTTGGTCTAGAGCGCCTGTGCGGTGGTCCGGAGCAAGTAGGGGCGCCGGGCGGCGTGGAGCTGGCCCACTGTTCCCGACACCGACCTTAACGGCCGACCTGGCTCTGGCGCACCCCCAGCTGAGCTGAAGCTCACCAAGCCTTCGTGCGCCATTGCCGCTGCGGTTGTTCCAACGCAGATGTTTCAGCAGCGTCCCGGTTGCGCTGCAGTGGCCGGCGCCGGCGCCGCAGTAGCAGCAGCCTAACGGTAGCCTTGGCAACTAAGCGGCGCTTTGGGTCGCCCACAGTTGCCGCAGCAACCGCGCTGCGCGCTGCACGTTCGGGCCGTTCGCCACGCCCAGCGGCCGTGCGTACGTGCGTCGTCTCTATGGTGGCGGCGGATTCGGAGTAACTGAACGATCCCGGAGTCAGGCAAGTTAATCAGGGGCTGCGGGTGTGACCTCTGACCTGGACCGGGAACTTCGGGGAGCCGTGCCAAGGGACGAAGGGCCTCAGGCCACATCTCGCTTTCTTGGCTCGGGCGCTTGGGGCCGCCGGGTCCTGTGCCATCACCATTCCTCCTCTGGGATTCCCCCATCGTCCCATGACTCAGCCCTAGGACTCCCCTCTCCTGCTCCACGGGACCGTCCCCACACCATATGACCCCTCCCCCCGCCATGGGACCCTCCTCGCATCACTCTCCTCCGGGCACCCCATCACATGACCTGGTCTCAGGGGTCTCCCGAAGGGCCTCATGCTATCATGAATCTCCGCTATTGACAATCTCCGCTATTGACTGTTTCCCGCGCGTCTCATGATTTGGTTGTCCTTCCCTCAGGATGTTCCGCCGGGAGCGCTCCATCTCCCTTCGAGGCTCGGCCGCCGCCCTGTGCAACAACCTCAGTGTGCTGCAGCTGCCTGCCCACAACCTCACGTATTTTGGGGTGGTTCATGGACCAAGCGCCCAGATTCTCAGCGCTGCCCCTGAGGGTGTGCCCTTGGCCCAGCGCCACCTCCACGCTAAGGAGGGCGCTGGAGTGAGCCCCTCACTTATCACTCAGGTGAGGCATCCAGTTGAGTGGTGTTGCTGAACCTAGTCCTACCCTCTGACCTTGCTCTCCAAATCTCAAGGAATAGGCCTTCCCTAACCTCTGAATTTCCATTCTTCTGAATCCTCATACCCCCACTCTGATTTTCTCTCTACTCTGATCCACCTCCCTCCAGGTCCACTGGTGTGTCCTCCCCTTCCGGGTACTGCTCGTACTCACCTCACATCGAGGAATACAGGTAAGAAGAGAACCCTCCTGCCTTCCCCCACCAGAATCATCTTACCTCTCCTCCAAGGCTCCCAGACCCTTCCCCACTTCTAGACTTTTCACGTACTTAGCCCACCCTTCCTCTACTTTTCATCTTTACTCCCCCCATCTTTTCCAGTTCCCAAGTGCCACCTCCAACATATGCCCTTTTGCTAGCCGTATGACTTTGGGCAATTAACTTCTCAGGGTCTCAGTGTCTTTCTCTGTAAAATGGGAATAAAAATAGTGCCTACATCCCAGAATTGTTTTGAGGATTAAAAGGGCTAAGGTTGGGCCGGCCTGTGGCTCACTCGGGAGAGTGCGGTGCTGATAGCACCAGGGCCGCGGGTTCGGATCCCATATAGGGATGGCCAGTTCGCTCACTGGCTGAGCGTGGTGCTGACAACACCAAGTCAAGGGTTAAGATCCCCTTACCGGTCATCTTTTGAGAAAAAAAAAAAAAAAAAAAGGGCTAAGGCTAACATGGATATGTGGAGTACTCAGCTCAGAGCTCAGCAATCATCAGCTGCATTATCCCATCCTTGCCCCCGTCTTCCAGATGTATGAGTCTGATGGCTCCATCATGGTCTACTGGCATGCACTGGACTCTGGAGATGCCTCTCCAGGTACCTGCAGGACCAAGTGGGGTGGGGGTAGGGAGTGTTTGCTGGGGCTGGGGTACACACTATTTCTGATCATTTTCTCCTTTTATACTCAGTACAGGCTGTGTTTGCCCGAGGAATTGCTGCCAGTGGCCACTTCATCTGTGTGGGTGAGGGGGCCAAGGGCAGGACACTGGGGGGTGCTCAGGTGTAAGGGGCTGGGCTTCCACCAGGAGGATGCCGAGGGCCTGAGGAAATCGAAGAAGCTTAGAGGGAAGGGTAAGAGTGGAGAGGATCCGAGAAACTCCAGAAGGCCACAGAGAGTTCCAGGGTGGGATAGGATGAGGGTAATGAATGGAGGGGCAGGCAGGGCTGTTGGCGCAGTGAGAAGTGGGTTTGTCATTAAGGTTTCTGGGATGGAGGGAGTGCTGAGTGTGGTGGCTGGAGACCCAGGAGGGTCAGGAAGCCATCAGTGAGGCACTGGTTCCGGCTGCAGGAACGTGGTCAGGCCGGGTGCTGGTGTTTGACATCCCAGCCAAGGGTCCCAATATTGTGCTGAGCGAGGAGCTGGCTGGGCACCAGACAGCAGTCACAGACATTGCCACTGAGCCTGCCCAGGGACAGGTGAGTAGATGTCTTGTACCTATTCCAGTGAGCCTGGGAGCCTTCCCTGCCCTGGGAAGAAGGGGACCTGGGTTCAAGTCTTGGCTCTGCTATCAAGCACCTGGATGGCTTTGGGCAAATCTGTCCCTTCCTAGACTTCAGCAACCTAAGGTCTGGTGGTAAAGCAAGAGATACTTTACATTTATATGGCATTTTATACTTTGCTAAAACTTTATAATACTGGTGTGAATTGAGAAGTTGAAACAAATGGTTTCTAAGATGCTTTCCAGCTCTGATATGTGCAGCTTCCTTCTCTGGACTTGGGCAAGTCCTACCTATTCAGGCCCAGCTCCAGTGCCCTTTCCAGGAAGCTTTTCCCCTATTCCAGCTCCCACTGATCTCCCCTAGCTGAACCCTGAACTGGCACTGCCCTCAAAGACAACTCTTGTCTTCCCAATTGGATTACAAACCTCTTGAGAACAGGGTATATATTTTTCTAATTCATATTTTCCACTGCTCCTGGCACAGAGCTGGCCTTGTGGGCTGTGATGGCTGCCTAGTGTTGGGGGTCAGGAGGCCCAGAGTATAGTCTTGACTGTGACTGACTCACTGCAAGACCTCCAGAAGGTCATGGCACTGTGGCCTCAGTTTCATCATCCTTCCAGTGAGGACAATTATGCACTCCCTCCTAACACATGATGGGGGAGAGGGGGGGGAGACTCTATAAGGAAATGGAAGGAAAGCAGTTCATGCTTCCTGAGGGAACTCTGCAAAGGGTTTCTGGAAGGTCCAGCTGGTAAGGCTCCCTATCTTGCCCTTTCTCTGGAGAGGCAAAGATGCAAATACTGCCTCCCTTCCCCTCCTGCCCTGTACACAGGACCACAGCCTGTGGGAGGGCTGATCCTGCCTTTCCTCTCAGGATTGTGTGGCTGACATGGTGACAGCAGATGACTCGGGCTTGCTGTGTGTCTGGCGGTCAAGACCTGAATTCACATTGTTGATCCGCATTCCTGGATTTGGGTAAGTGAGGCAGAAGGGGGCTGAGACCTTCCTGAGCTAGCTTCAAGATGGGGAGTGGGCTTGATTCTGGGGAAATCAAAGTTGGGTATCAACCTTGCAGGGTCCCATGCCCCTCTGTGCAGCTATGGCAGGGTATCGTAGCAGCAAGCTATGGGAATGGGCAAGTACGTCTCTACGAGGCTACTACAGGAACTCTCCATGTCCAGATCAATGCCCACGCCCGGGCCATCTGTGCCCTGGACCTGGCTCCTGAGGCGGGCAAGGTCAGTCTCCTCCTCCATTCCTTCATACCCTTTTTCCTGGTGCTGGGATTTTGAGAGGAACGCCACAGGCTTGTCTCTACCACCAGTGTAACCCCCTCCCCAGGGCACCTGGACTGGGCACTGCAGTCTGTACATATCCTGTCAGGATGTTTGGACTCCCATACTTCCTCCCTGCTTTTTTTAAATAGCTACTCTCGGCAGCTGAGGACACCTTTGTGCACATCTGGAAGCTGAGCAGAAACCCAGAGAATGGCTACATTGAGGTGTGTGTTGTGGGAGGGGTGGAATGGGAACCCAACATGGGGCAGCAGGCCCTGACCAGCCTTCTTCTCCCCCAGGTGGAACACTGTCATGGTGAGTGTGTATCCTACACCCAGGTGTGTGGTGCTCGGTTCTGTGATCCCTCAGGCAACTCCTTTGCTGTGACCGGCTATGACCTCACTGAGATCCTGAGATTCAGCAGTGTGTGAGAAGAGCAGCCTTCCTTTCTCCCTGTGGTATTTATAAAGTACGCCGTCTATCCAACCCTTGTCTGATTACTCAGTATCACAGTCATATTTTACAACTGGTGAACCAAGCTCCAGGGATGAGGGATGGGGCAGGTCCAGACCAAGCAGAGAGAGGCAACCTATTCTCAAGTGAAGGCTGCTGTTAATGTTAAATAACTTTAATGATTGATGTGGGAGTCACAAGGGAGGTACATTCCCTCTCAGGGCTCTTCAGTGCCATCCTCAAAGCTGGTTAGTGCAGGGAGTTAGGGCAGGGTTGGTTCCAGTTTTCTCCCAGGAAGGGTTTAGGGGATCCCAGCCAGCCCTGGGAATGAGTCTCTCAGTACCATGGCAACCACAACTTAAGAGGGGCTTCTGCTCCCACCTCCCCAGTCTACCCCCAGTCCAGCAGAGGAAGAGGAAGCCAAGCTGGCCAACTTGATACACACAGTGCCATATCCACAGCCCAATTGCACATGGGTCATTTTCTCTTCTGGCCAGATCCTGTTGTCAACACCTTTTTCTCTCACACTGGTGACTGGAGCCAAGTGCGGGGTGGGCCTTTGCTGCAGAAGCCTCTGGACCGTGGGGATCGCTGCGGGGGGAGAGGAGCAACCGAGCGAGAAGCCCCAGGGGAGTGGTCTGGAGGGACAGCATCCAGGGAAAAGGTTCGGGGTCTCCCCCAGGGCAGGGGGTGGGTCCAGGCTGGAGCCACTGAAGCAGGCGAGCAGGGGCTAGGCAAGGCAGATTGGTCTGTAAACATTGCTAGCCAGGGTGGGGGAGTCTCCAGCCTTGTGCCCTCCCGCTGGGCCAGGATGTCTGTCACTGCTGCGATGTCATCCAGTGGGTCAATTGCTGTGGCACCAGGAAGGGGTTGAGGGGAGGGGGCTAGTCAGAGCTCAGGTCTCGGGCCACCCAGCCCTGACTATCACCTGTCACTGTAATAGGAGGAAAGCAAAGCCCGGATCTCTGCCGAGATTGCATTATCCTGCAGGAGAAGCCCCTCACCTGGGCCTCCTGGGGCCCCAGGCTCTGAAAAGACTGTGGATATGGGGCACAAAGGGAATGGGGAGGGGAGCAGAAGTGGGTAAAGAAACCAAGAAAGAGGAGAAAAATGAAAGCAGTGCCAGGCAAGTAAGGGGTCAGAGGAAGAGACAGGAATCCGCATGCAGAAAGGGAAACAGAAAAGAAGAAATTAGGAAAGAAATTTATGAAATGAATCTGGTTCTTTTGGGTTTTGTTTTGAACTTTGGTGGAGGTGGTTCTAAGAAGAGTCAGAGAAGAGAGAATACAACAGGACTGGGTGGTACCTGGGTCCCCAGAGAGCCACCTTAGCCCAAAGTGTACTTTCTCTTTGTTTCCATTGTCTGGGCTCCGTTGAAACCCCAGCCCCACTTCCCATCAGGTTTCCGAGTGCACTTTCACTCACCCATCTCATGGTACAAGGACCCCTGCTTGGCCAGTGCTTGGGGCGGTTTCCGGAGAACAGGAGTTTCAATTTTCATGAGTTCATCACAGCATTGCTTCCACTGGCCTGGAGGAAGAGCACTGAGTGGAAGAGAGGGCTAGGCTGCCCTCTGTCCTGCTATATTCCCTCACACTCTTGAAATGCAGGCCTTTCGTAAAAATAACAGACCCCAGTCCCTTCCAAAGGTTCAACCCAATGACCTTCTCTCTTACTCATGTCAAAGAAGAGCTGCCACAGAGCCTCCATCCAGCTCTGCAGGGCTTCCCGACTTTCTGTCTGAAGGGTGTGCGTCACCTTGTCATCCCCATACTGGTTACTGATGCTTAGGGTGAAGGGCCGTCCTGAGGCCTGGTCTAGCTCCCCTGCACGGACTCGAGTCTCCTGCAGGAGAAAGGAGAGGTCTGCTTCCACCTCCGCCTTGGTCGTAGAAGTTGGCGGTGACATCAGGCAAACTGCACCACCCCTGTCTTAGGAAGGAGAGCTGCGGGGCTTTCTCTGAGCCCTCTCATTTGTCTCCTCCTGAGCAGAGTGGGAAGGAATGGCAGGAAAGAGCTGGGGATGAGACAGGCAGTCCCAATTCAGGGAAAGGGACTGAGCAAGGCAGGGAAGATGTGGAGGTGGACAAGAGTGCTAAGGTGAAAGGTCCTCAGTACTTCCAAGAAGTAGGCAGGAAACCCAATGAGAGGGCTAGGGAGCAAGGAAGGGTAATGGGACCTGGGTCAGGAGAGAAAAACAGGAAGTCTTAAAGTAGGTATCAGTCAGAATCTGAGGGAAAAGGGGAAAGAGGATGAAAAGTCCTAAACTGTTGGTAGAACCCTGAGGACGGTGAGTGAGTGGGATGACTTTTTTCAGTGATGTTGTGGTGGGGAGAACATGGTCCCCTTAGCATCCCTGGCCCTGAAGCTGAGTGTGGTGCTATTAGGAGCCAGGTCAGCTTCCATCTCTCTGAGGTCTGTGCCCACCCTCCTGGGGCCTAAAGAAGAGACTCCTGGGCCTGGCACCTGGTGGCCTCACCAGCAGGGAATCCATCACCTTGTTGATTGCAATAGTAAACAGCGGCTGTTCCCCAGTGTCTGCATCCTCAGGTCGCTGGTAACAGAAGAGGTTTGTGCCTTTCAGTACTCCATGCACTCGTGCCCAGTTCTGCAGCTCCCCAGCTTGCTGCAAAAATGACTCAAGGTTTCCTGGGGGAGTCACACCCCCAACACACTTCTTCCCAGCTCCCCATCAAGAACCTGCTCCTTTTGCCCACCCTCATCTCTGTTCCCCTCCTTGTCTTGCCATTCCCCTCTTGCTCCACCCAGAGCTTGATTTTTCAAAAGTCTTATTCCTACGTGATCCAGCTCTCCTCTGCCTTCTTCCTGTTCCCTTCCACTCCTCAGGGCCCCCTCACCTGCACCCTGAGGGTACCACTTGCAGTGGGCTGAGTCATGCAGAGAGGCTGAGCTGCCAGGCGGCAACACACGCTACCATAAAGGGGCAGCCAGGCAGGGTTCTCCTCTGGGGGAGGAGGAAGTGCAGGGTGAGGGTTGGGAAGGAGAAGGGGACCATCCCACGGCCCCTCTTCTCACCATCACCAGTGTCCCCCCCCACACACATGTACTCACCATGACTGGCAAGGGTGAGGTCATGTGTGCGGAACCCATCTTGCACTGCTGCCAGGGTGAGCGTGGTGTGAGCCAAGAGGTGGTAACGAGGACCACTGGAGAAGAGACAGGTGGGATCAGCTGAATGAGAGGTACAGTAGATGGCAGGAGCTGTAAGGGCTGAGCAGGCCTGCCCCATGATTCAAGTTGCCCTGTGGGAAACTAGCTTGCCTCCCCCACAGGGGTTAGGAACATTTGCTGGGCTCCTGCTAAGTGCTAGGACCTAGGCTTTACATATGTTATCTCACTGTATTCCCACGACAGCCCTGTGAGGTTGGTGGTATTCTTCAGTTAATAGATGCGTCAACTTGAGGCTTAGGTTAAGAAACTTGTCCATAATTTATAGATCATAAGAGCTGGAGCTGGGATTAGAACCCATGTCTGTGTCCAAAATCATCATTCTGTTCATTTTCCAGAGGTTCTCAAACTGCTTCTCAGAGCCCCACTGGTTTCATGAGGTGCCTCCAGGTACCTGTAGAGACCACCACAGGGCCCAGGCTACCCTGCTCCAACTAGGGAGGTTTGTTCTATCCACAGAAGATGTATATGCTGCAGCTAAAAAGTTAAGACACCAGAGCTGAATTCTCCCTGCCTTCCTCCTGGTCTTCTGGACTGGATGGGCCCAACTAAGGGGTATGGGCCAGAATGCCTCCCAGCTACATAGCCACTGCTCATTCATGTCTGTCTACATGTCCTGGCAACTGTGCAAAATGGGTTCTGCATGCTTGACATAGTTCAAAGATCACCTGTGGGCAGGATACAGGCAGCTGAGGGCAGTAGGGGAGTGCAAGGCCTTACCCCACAGCCGGGGTGGGGAGCAGGATGGGACTGCTCCCCGAGCCCCCAGCACTGTCCAGCGTGGCCCGGACACGCCTCCCCGAAGAGCGGCCCAGAGAGCTGCTGAGTTTGGTGGCAAGCCTCTTAGGGGCACCAGCCAGAGCCCCCTCTTCTTCCACACAGGCCCCATACAGCTCCAGCCGCAGTTCAAAGTCTGGTCCTGCGTCTGTGCTATAGGAATACAGGAGAAAGAGAAGAGGGTGGTCGTGGGGAGGTCCAGGAGGCACAGGGGGTGGGTGGTGCAAGTACAGGGCAGCTCCACAGGGAAGGCCAAGCACCCATGCCCTCTCCTTCCTCTCCTTGAACTATGTCATCTGAGAACTGGAGCAGAACTGGAGAAGGGAGGGAGCCACAGGGATGAGGTACTCACAAGAGCACATTGTTCTGAAAGGAGATGTCTGTGAGGGTCCTGTCTACCAGGATCATCTCTGTGTCCTGAATGTGTTCCCCTAGCTGCAGCAGCAGGAACACAGCCCAGCGATGCAGGTCTGGGGACAAAGAGGACAAAACTGGTAAAAAAAAACATGCCCTGCCAGAGCCTCCAACCTCAGGGGCACCCTCTTGAATTAGTCCCAGAGTGTGTGGAACTCACCACCTTTGTTCTTGAAATATTCTGTGTCCTTCCACATGAGAGGAATCCGGAGGTCTAGGGGCAGAGGGGTAGGAACAGATGTTGAGAGAGGACAGGCAATCGTGTGGTCAGGCAAGGGGTGCCATCAGCTGGGCAGCTGTGCTTCTTACCAGAGATGCAGACCTGGCCACGGCAGGGGGAGCGCTCAGCAGGTGGCCTGCTGTCAGAAGGCCTGTGGGTAAATCACAATGTCCTGGCCTGGCCTCTAGACGCTACTCCCCCTTGCTCCAAGGGCTCTAGAACCCTCCCTCCCCCGTCCCAGGGACCCAGTAACCCAGTTCTCCAACCAGGCTGACATGGCAACACCAAGGGACTGTGAGGGAGTTGTTGATTGAACCCAGAAATTTGCAGGCCTGGAGGACACTGGGGACACTTGAGTAACGTTAACTCACACATCAGTATGCAAGCTCAGGGCTCCTCCCCCTCCAAGCACCCTTCCTGATCACCTCTCCAGAATGCTGCCAGGGACAAGGGGGGCCTAGGGACATGTGCCCACAGAGAGACTCCCTTTCAAGGGTCTTCTCAATTAAACCCCAGGCTTGAATGGGGTTTGTAGGCTTTTCTTTTTAACAATAGGGAGGCTGTCATTGCCACCACTTTTCACCACTTCTTTGATATAAGAGGGTACTGTGTCAGTCAGAAAATAATTTGACCAGTGTTTGATGAAAGGAAAAGCATGAGTAGGAAACATTTGTGTTCCATTCACCACAGACGCTGCCCCCTTCCCCCGTGCTTTGATTTCTCCTTTTTCCTCCTGGACAGATATGCTGCACCTTCTCTGTGCCCCACATTCCCCAGTCCCCACTGCAGGGCCCAGACACCCAGCCTTCCACCCCTCTCCACCCATCATTAGGACTGAGTAAGTGTCCCTTTCCTAAAGGGACAGCCAGTTCATTCATATTCATAATGGCACTAATGTAATAATTACCAACTTAATAGGGCCTTAAGCTAAATGATGTGGCACTAATGGCCATGTGTTTAGCTTCCAAGGACTTGGGGTGTCCCTCAAATCACACTGTGTGGGCTGTGTGGGGACTTGGGCATGATAGAGCCTGTTGATGACCACCTCTCAGGAGGCAGCACACTCACAGAAGAAGCTGTCCCCTGTGCCTGCCTGCCTGCCCTTCTTCTAGCTTCTTGGGGCAGCCATGGAGTGGGTATTTTGCCTTCTGGTGGCTTTGTGGGTGGGCTCCTGGCAACCTCCGCCTTTATGGCTGGGATGGGCATCATGCCGCATCAGTGAGGGGCTGGGACCATCTCTCCATTCAGCCTTGATGGGGCACTCAGATTACTTTGTCAGAAGCCATTCTCCAAATGACTGATTTATCAAAAATGGCCAATTCTCAGAATGATCAACTTGCCAAATATTTTCTCCAACATGTTGGTTTTACCACAGCATAACCTCAACCATTTCATAGTAGATTTGTCAGCACAGCAATCTAATGTCAGTGTAGCTTTTGTTCCACATCCAGAAGCTGAGCCCCTGCAGAATCCACTATCTAATTTATGTGAATGAGTAGGCTTTCTTTAAAGTGTTTTTTTATTATTTCCTTTCCCAATCACTGCCTCTAATGGTTAACCCCAGGTACAACAAACTAATGTAAGTTTATGGTAAATTGGCCATTCAACAAATTGGCCATTTGGTGAACTTGCTTGGAGAAAATAAGTTTTCCAGAGGCCAGCCAGCCAGACTCACAGATCGCAGGCACGGCCTAGCAAATTAGCACTTTTACATTACTTACTACCCCTTAGACCGCCAGCCTTTCACCAGCCATACCAGCTTTCCCAAGGCCAGCCCTAGCTACTCACTAGTGCACCTCCAGGCAACACAGTGTGGTGGTGAAACACCAAGGTGTCTTGCAGGCCCCTGTCAAGTCTTCATGGGGATGGTTATCTTCAGGGTGGTCCCTAATGTGCATACTGCACTACCACCACCCATAAGGCCTCCTCCTGTCATTGAGGCCTCGCCTCCCCCTTGCTCACCGCCGGACTGTCTTCCCCAGCACCTGCGCCTCCTTGCGTCGCTGCAGCTCGCCCATGTAGCTGAGGATGCGGCTGTTGCACACCAGCAGGCTCTTGGTGGCCTCCAGAGCCTGCTCTCGCTGGGAGCAGGCTGCCAGTAGCTTGCAGGCCCCTTCCCTCATCCGGATCTCATGGTCTAGCTTCCTCTGCAACTCTGTGTCCTAGCCAGGGGAAGGGTGAGAAGGAAATGTCAGTCAGGGGACAGGCTGAAGCACCCCCAATCTCCAGGTGGGCTGACAAGAAACTAATGTTTTAGGCAATTCAAGAGCAGTGTTGGGTCTCAATTTCAGTTGCCCAAGTATAACCAGAGAATCTTTGTAAAAATACAGATGTCCTCATGCATTTGATGGTTGGGAGTATAAATTCCTTCAGCTTGTTTTGAGCATAATTTGGAAAAAATCTGTGAAAATTACAAGTTCACATATCCTTTGATCCAGCCATCTAATATCTAGGAGCTTATCCTATAGGTATACTTATACATATAACTGGGCAAGGCCATGTGTACAAAAATATTCATTGTAGCATTGTTTTAAACACCAAAGATAAAAACCCTTCAATAGGGCATTGGTTAAATAAGAAACAGCACATCTATCCCACGTAACATTGCAGACATTAATGAGTGAGGTAGACATATGTGTGCAGATATGAAACAACCTCCAAAATGTATGTGAGAAAAGCAGAACAATATTATACATGCTATCATTTGTTCCTGATATATATACATATTTACGTATGAGCGTATGGGAATAAACAAGCCAAAGTGCTTTTCCTATACTCTCACTCAGCAACAATCAACACAGAAGATTTCTGTGACCAAATGTGTGGAGTTTTTTCCCCACACACCAAACAGTTCTCCAGAAGACACCAGCTGGGTGTCCTCCAATTCAACCGACACTATCTACCTGGATATAGCAAGAGAACCCACAGGTTGAGGGCTCAGTCCCTATGATTGCTCCCAACTTCTGATGCCAGTTGCAAGCCCCAACTTGTCTTACCTGTGCTTCTGACTGGCTATAAATTGGGGTTCCCACGACCCCTCCTTGGGTTTACTTAATTTGCTAGAGTGGCTCACAGAATTCAGAGAAACATGCTCTTGGGTTTTTATGGAAGTTTCATTATGTAGGCATGGCTAAAGCATGGACAGCCTTGTAGAAATGTGATTGAACAAAAAGGGTGTGATCTAACACTAACAGACTGAGTGGGGAAACCCAGCAAGGCCTGTCTGTTCAGATTCTTCTTGGCTTCTCTGTGCAGCATTTCTTCCTCCCAGGTATGGGGCAGGACCCCTTCTGAAATGAGGGTCTTATCACCTACAATCAGACAAGATAGGTCAGAGGATTTCTTTATGGCCAACTCCAAGACAGAAAGGCAGGGGAAGATTAGATAGATTCCTGCCTTGAGGAGCCAGGAACCACGGATGAAAACTAATGTATATATCATAATATCACAGAATATGTGTATATATATATGTATATGTATATACATATACACAGATATGCATGTTTATATATATAACATTAGTGGTTGTGGGCCTGGGAACCAGGAATGGAAAACAGATTTATGACACTTTATTTATATATACCCTTCTGTACTATCAGAAGTTGTGATTTTAAAAAATATATCTTTAAAAAATATTAAATCTTTGGAGTTAAAAAAAATTACCAGGCCCCACCTAAGACTTACAGAATAAGAATCTCTAGTAGTGAAGCATATGCATTTTTGGAAAACTCTCCAAGTGATTCTGAGGCACAGCCAGGACTGAGAACCACTAGCTAAAGAGAATGGACACATAGTAAAAGTCATCCCAGATACCTCCAAAGACTCAAGTGATCTGGGGGATATCTAGTTGTCAAGGGATACGTGGGGAAGGAACACACCAACCAAAGAGTTCACCCATGCTGCACAGAACCCCATACACACCTCAAATTAGGAGATCTACCACTTCCTGGCCCTCTGAACTTGAGAAGTGAGATCAGAAATAGGGAAGGGGTGTGGGAAGGTAAGTGGTCCAGGAGTGAAGGGCTGCGCAGGCTGTGCACAAGAGCCAGAGGAGAGGCGCCAGACAACTTGCTCAGTCTTCTAAGCCTCAGTTTCCTTATCTGTGAAATGGTGATGGAAATAGTCCCCACATCCTAGGGCTGCGGAGATTCCGTAATACAGGAACATAAAGCATTTAGCGAAATGCCCAACACATGTTATACATGAATGCTGAGGATGCTTATTTTAACCACGCTACTTTGGCAGCAGTAGTATTCACCCAATGAACACTAAAGCATCCTTGTGCTGTTTGGGCTCTACATTTTAAAACCAGCTGGGAGGTGAGAGACGCACACATTAATGGCTGTTCCATAAGTGCCATGTCATGGCATAAAAACGCTCACAGAAAACAGACCCTGTTTGCTTCTGGCTGAGGTGATCAGGGAAAGCTTCAGAGAGGAGGTGAAAGACTAACCCAGTCACGGTGTACAGACTGGTTCAGGACAAAACAAATCAAGCCACCCAGCTGGAAGAGGGGAATGAATGTAAGCGTCAAAACCTGTCTTCTCATTCACACCAGCTCCCCTCCATAGCCTGTGCCCTTGCTTCTGTCCCTGGTGGCTCCAGCCTTCAAGTCTCCAAGACCTGAACAGCCTAAATTCCCTCTTCCAAAAGCTTGGTCAAGCCTGCCTGATGATTCTTCCTTCACTATTTCCTGGGCCACTATGCCATGCCAGACTTTCATCACCCTTCACCCCAGCACCATCCACCTGTTTCCCTACCAAAATAAGCCAACCCATTCCCAAAGCCCCCTCCACCAGGAAGTCCTCCCAGACTACATAGCTCCTCCCAGCCGAGTTTTGTCTGTCTGCATCAGGGTCTTACTTCTGCTAAGCGTCACCGCTTGCCAACCCTCACCCCATCTGCACCCAGCTTCCCCCACGAACACCCCAAACGGGTGAGAGCTGGGGAGGAGGGGGATGCAGAGGCATTCTTAAGCCCCCTCCTGGCTAGTCTTGTTGTCCCAGTCCCCGCACTCACGGATCCTTCTCTAGCCCTGTCCATTGCGCATGCCGCGCTGGCGGCCAGTGGCATGCATGCGGGGTCCAGAGAGCCGCACCGGCCCGGAGTGCCGGCGGGGGCCAGGCGCTGGCGCAGCCTCACCCGCCTCCGCCACTGGCGCTCGGGCCGACGGTGACATCAGCTCCCAATTGCCGCGAGAGCGGCCGAGGAGCACAGGGGCACGCGCGGTTCCTGGGGAGCCTGGCCGGGCTAGGTTCTGGGCGGCGCAACCATTGAGACCCTGTGGCAGCGGGACGGGACCTCTGGGAGCGACTGCATCACCCTGGAAAGGGCCCCGGGCCTCTGGGCCAGCTACAGCTTCAGGAGGCCCTTCCCCCTCCTATGTTGCGGTTGCCCTGCAAGGCGACCTCTTGCCTGGGGCCATGGGGGGTGGGGTAGGTAGTGTATACATTGGGAAAACTGGGGCCCTAGAGAGGTCGCTGGGCTCAGCCTGGATGAGCAGGACTGGGAGTCCAGCACCCCCCTCCCCCCACTTCCCCAGGCCCTCCAGGCCCAAATCCACTCTCCCACAGCCCTACAGCAGAGACAGCCCTACAAATCTGGCTCCCAACCTTGCGGGCAGAGGATCTCAGGAATCCTGGCTCAGGTTCTGGATCCTTGTACTCGGCCCTAGTCTCCCCACCCCAGGGACAGTTCCTACCCACACACACCCTCTCCCCAAACATGCAGCATTTCCCCCAGACTCCTGGGAAAGAGCCTGCAGTTAAGTGTCATCCAGACCTGGGTCAGAGCCCAAGAGACTGAAGAAGGATGAGTCATGGGCAGAAGCCCCAGCACACATTAGGCCCTCTGGGGACATCCCTTCCTCCACCCAGACCCTACACCCCATTCTCTTCTGTCCCTGACTTCCTGCTTTTCCTGTCACCAGCTTCTCTTCCCTTCAGAGTCTCCACCTGCACTAAGTGCAAATCCTGCTAAGGTGACTTTAACCTTTGCAGCCTCAGTTTGTAAGGCTGAGGGCTATTCCACCTCCTTCATAGCATTGTTAGAGGATTAAATGGGAAAGTCTAATCTCTACTCGGGTCTAATACATATTTGAAAACATGCTTTCTCTCACGCTCACCTCCCCTTTACCTGCAGCTTAAGTTGCCTCCTCCAGAAAGTCTTCTTGGATTTACTCTTCTATGACTACCTCTCTTGCCAATCCCTGAAACATCAATGGGTCTCTCTTTTGAGGACCTGCTGAACTTGGTGGAGAAAGAACACAGCACCCCCAGCCCATGGCTGAAGGAGAGGTGATGAAAGTGAAAAATAAGCCCCTCCTCTGCCCCAGAAATTGGGCAAGACTCCCATGGAGAAAAATTACGTAGGTTTGGGAGTGAGGGGGTGGATTTAAACATTTAAATACTTAGACCACCTCTGTCCAATAAAACCTGTGATGATAAAAATATTCACTAGCCATCTAGCACTTGAAATGTGGCTAGAGCAATTAAGGAACTACATATTTTACTTCATTTTAATTAACTAGAATTAAGATTTAAATAGCCATATGGAACTAGTAACATGGACAGAGCAGAGGACTAGGAATGGCAAATAAGTTTTATCTCATGTGCTGACACAGGACAATTTAGGTAGTGTCATAGTCCCAAGGGGTTCATTGGGCACCTTTCTGCAAATTAGAAAAAAGCAATCCTCTCCAGGCAAGCAAGTTTGATAAAAAGCATCCCCTCCTGATGCAGCTGAAACCAGACCAGGACTCCTGCCTCTGGCTAGTGCCCCTGTGAAGGACACATCCTGCAAAATTTATGCCAAGGCTGTGCTGAGAAAGATTCTGAGGCCACGTCTGGACTCATTGGTAAAGAGTGTCATGATTGACTAGTAATGTCCACTATTATCTAGGGAGTGAGGGTGGGGGAGGAGGTAGCATATATGCAATAAATTGGCATTTCTCATCTAGACTCTTTACAGTGCTACCTCTCATCTCTCTCAGCAGCAACTCCCTGCCTGCTCCAGGGAGTCACCTGCACAACTTCTTTGTACTCCCCATCTCAGTAAAAACATAGCCACAGCACCCAGTTGCTTGGCCACACCTGGAAGTCATCCTGGAGTTCTCTCTTTGCCTCAGTCCTCATGTCTGATCCATCAGCAAGCCCTGTCAGATCTACCACTATCACTTGAAATTCACCCCTTTCTCCCTTTCTCTGCCATGAGCACTGTAATCCACACCAGCAGGTTCACTCCCCTGTGACTGTAACAACCTCCTACCTGGTGGTCTTCTGCTACCTCTCTTGCCAGCCCTCCTCCCACCCCTCTCCCTCCTCCCCACCCAGCCTATTCTCCACCACAGCCATTATTTTAAAACATGATGGGGGGCTGGCCAGTTAGCTCAGTTGATTAGAGCATGGTGTTGTAACACCAAGTTCAAGGGTTCAGATCCCCATACCAGCCAGTCGCCAAAAATAAAATAAATTAAATTAAAATAAAATATGATGAGTTGTTCCCCTGCTGAAAACCCTTCCATGGCCCAACATCACACTTAGAGTGAAATCTAAGTGCTTTATCATGGCCTTCATGCCCTGCATGATCTGGCCTCTGGCCATTAGCTTCACTCCAGATACTATATTCCAGCCACGCTGGTTCTCCTTTCCAATAAACACATCACCCTCATCCTACCTAAGGGCTCTTGCTATGCCCTTCTCCAATCTTCACATATGTTCAAATACTTCTGGTCTCAGCTCAAAGATATCCTCACACAGGCCTTCCATGACCTCCATGTTGAATGCTGCCTCCCCCACCTGATTTTGATTATATCCCCCTGCTTCTATCATAATTTCATTATGTGATATTATTTATGTGTTTGCATGTTTATTGTCTGCTCCTCCACTAGAATGGACCTTTCCTTTCTTAGTCACTGAGGTATCCCATGGTCCAGAAAGGAACTTGGCACATAGTACATGTTCAATAAATGTGTTTAAAAAAAAAAATAAGTAAATAAACAAGCAGCTCTCTGCCATCTCCAGGGCCAGAAGAATCCTCACTCACTCCTGGCCCCCAAGTCTCCCTTCCCTTCTCTAGTGAGGCTACTACATCCTTCCCGCAAACCCTCTCACATTGAACTCCTCTCTTCTTCCCATACCTAAAAGAAGCCATCATCCCCAGAACAGACATCCACACACACCCACAGAGCTTCCAGAAATACGTGTGAATACCCCGCTGCCACCATATTGCTCTGATGGGCAGATTTGAGCCTGGGTCCATACAAAGCACCCAAAGCAAGGAGTACAGAATCACCTGTCCCTCTCCTCACTTTGAGCAGGCCCTGCTCCCCTCACCCAGCCAGGGAGGGGCAGGGCAGAGAAGGGCTGGGATGCAAGCAGAGGAGGTGTGTACTGGGGGTGGGGGGGTGGGGACATTACCTCCAGGCTGAGTGCCATCTGCCGAATGTAGAGCATATTCAGGTCCTCCAGGATATGCAATCTGTCCTGCATCTCTGTACCCCCCAGTGCCCCTTCCCTTGTTGACCCCTCCAGAGAGGGAGCAGGTAGGCACCACGCTGTCCCACAATTCCTCCTCCCACTGCTCCCTCGGTCTTGAAAGGTGGCCAGGTCTTCTGCCCTCTGCCCCTCTGCACTCCTGTTAGACCCCTCTGGCTGCTGTGACAAATTTTCCTCCCCTAATGCTGTTTCAAGGCCCTGGTGGGAGCCAGGCAGGGAAGAAAAGGAAAGCAAGGTGAGGATGTGTGGGGTCCCAGGAGGGGAGGTCAGCTGCAGAGGGGGCTCTGGGCACAGAGTGTCCAGTCTTGCTTTGGTAGCAGCTGTTCTCCCAGCTGTGAAAGAAAAAGGCCCTTTCATTGGGACTCTGGCCCCTCCCCAGCCCCCGCCCACATCCCTCGCCTTGTGGACAGAGAATCTGTGTGCCAAGAGGGCAGTGAGGGGCAGGCACAGCTGGAAGGGGGCAGGGAAAGGACGCCACATGCAGCTTCTACAGAGTTGTGAGGTTGTCAGGAGGTTGGAGGTTTCTGAAAGGAGTTCGGGATTAGTCCGAGAAAGTTAGGAAGAAGAGCTGCGGAGCTGAGGACTTGAGGGGAGAGTGAGCCCAGGGAGTGGGACGAAGGGGTGAGTAGGTAATAAGGCCCAGCCCCCAGGGTCACCCCGTCCAACTCAGGGCCCCCATCCAGCCCGCCCCACCCTGGGCTCACAATTACCTCGCTTTTCCAGCAGAAGGGAGGAGAGGGAGGGAGAAAGGCAGGGGTGTGCCTGTCTGCTGCCGCCCCCGCTCCCCTCTGCAGGCCCCTTCCCTTCCAGACAGGAAACCAGCCCCGATTCCCAGCCAGCTGCAGCTTTGCCCCCCCTCCACCCCAGGCCCACGGAGTCACACTCCGCTAGGCTGCCGGCCGGGCTTGCGGCTCCGCCCTGGGCCGGCCTGATCCCAGGGGCCGCCCCAGCTCCCAGGCCCCTCCTCCTGGTCCCCTGGCCTCGCCCCTTACTCCCCCTTGCTGGCCCCACGCGGGTTCCTCAGGCCGAGTTGCTGGGGGGTAAAGGGAGGGGACGACAAAGGCCCTCTCCCCCAGGTCCACTAGCTCTGAGTCAGAGAAGGCCTGGGACACCCGGACACGGTGTGTGAAAGGGCCTTTGTTCTGGGTAGGCTGGAGGGAAAGGGCAGAAGTCGGGCCTGGAATCCCAGCTGGGAGGGAGAAGGGGGCAAGGCCCACCTCACTTAACCCTTTCCAGGCCCGGAGAGACAGACAGCTTGGAATTGGGCCCTCCTTGGGCAAGTGTGAGTCTGACCTTGGGGACAGAAGTGTCTTTAGGGTGGCTACTCGCCCTCTCGGTCCTGGCTCAGCCACACACCTACAGCCCACCCGAGCCTCTATGGAGAGTTACAGGTAGGGCTCAGACCATCAAGGTGGAGACCGGTGCACCCGGGAGGAAAGTCTCAGCCTGGAGGCTGTACTCCTCTTAGACTGTAGGAAAAGAGGCAGAAAGTTTGGCCTTGGAAAATAACCCTTAAGAGTTAAAAGGGAGCTCCCCATTCCCCCGAATCCTTCAGGGGCACAAAGGAGCCACTGGGGTAGTTGAGATTGATGACAGAGGCTGGCCCAGATGGTTGAGACAGGGTGCGGGATGGGACTGACGGTCGGGGAAGGAGCTGGCGCCCAGGCCAAGCGTCTGAGCTTTGGGGGCCCGCCTAGCTACCCACCGCCCTTTGCCCGGGGACGCCAAGAGAGGTTGGGGTCCAGGTACATTTTGTGGCCCGAGACTAGAGTCGCTCAAATTGAGGCCCACCTGGAGTTCTGCAGAGGCAAATCATCCCACCCAGGCTGGGGAATGTCTGGGGAAGCACAAGTGGGATTAACGTGCAGATGGTCCGCACCTTACTCTTTGTAAGTCAACACCTCCCGCGGGTTCGTACCCAGGCCGCCGCGTCTCCGCCCCTCGGCGTGCGCGCGGGCTGGGGCTGGAGGCCAGGGGCCTGCGGGATCCCGGGAAGGGGAAGGGGAAGGCAGGGAAGGGGTCTCTCACCTCGGGCGGATCGCTGAAGAGGCTGAGTCGGAATCGTCCGCGTTTGAACTCCATCTCCAGGGCGGAGCCCCTGGCCACAGTGACCCGGCTCCGGTGGTTTCGGGAAAACATGCTGGCGGCTCCGCGCCTTTGCTTGCCCGGTGCGCTCCGCGCGCCGCTTGGTCTCTTGTCCTTCTGTTTCTCGACGCCCGCCAGCCAGTCGGGCCAGGAATCTCCCGCTGACGGGTTCCCAAACGCCGCCCCCGGAGACGACACCTGGACCAGGGCGCGGCACCCTCCTCTTCCACCCCAGCCCCGACCCGCCCGGCCAGTCCCGGGACGCCACCAGGCCTGGCCCGACAGCCCCACTGCCAGGGGCACCCTACACCTCGCCAGCACTGCGGGGGCGCACCCGCCTCTCTTCCGGCCCAGTTCGCGGGCCCTCACCTGGCCATAAGGCGGGCCCAGGGAAGCCCCGCCCCACCAGTCGCCCCCACCTGACAAGCCCAACTCCCAGGGCGTGGAAAACCCCTTGGCCTCAAGGATCGCCGGGTAAAACACTCGTTCTAGCTGGGCCCGGGGACCGCGCCCAATCTCACCCAGGCAGCCTCGAAGCGACCGTTTCAAATTCCTGCAGTCCCAAGTGTTCCTTCTCCGTCTCCCTCCCCTTTTAGGCTCCCCTTCACGGCTGTCCACCCATCCCTAGTGGCTACGATTCACGGGGCGGTGCTTAAGCACCTCTTGGAACCCCACTTCTGCCCCCGACTAACTGTGCAGCTTTGGCTCAGTCACTGAACTTTCTAAGCTTCAGTTTTCTCGTCTATTCAATGGAGATACTGTGATTATTCTCATTCCTCAAGGTGCTATGAGAATTACATATAAGAATGAGGGTAAAATGCCTAGGACAGTGCCTGGCACAAGGCAAGTGCCCCTAAGTGGAACCATGAAGATAAGGAGCAGGTGCAGTACCTTTGTGCCCCCGGATGGGACGCCTGCAGCCTCAGCTCCCTGGACGCAGATCTTAAGAAGGTGAGGACTTCTGCTACCTCAATATTGACTCTCTGTCAGCTGCTTTGCTGGGTGTCTGAGACAAGGTTACCACTCCCTACTTCTGCAGAAATAGGGTTCCCTCCTCTCCCCCAAAGAGCCCAGTGGGAGAGAAAGGAATAGCAGAGGATTAGCTTGCTGACCACACACGAGGGGGTCCCCTGGAGGCTTCAGAACTTACTGGGGAGAACTTGAGAGAGGATGGGCCTCCTACATAGCAGATGGGCTGGAGCCAGAGACATACCAGCCTTTAGTTCTTAGAGAATCCTGGTTAGAATTGCTCTGCTATGGCAAATTACTCAATATTCTTCTGGAAAAGCTAACTGGCTTATAGAACTGAAGTGTCTGGGAACAGCCTTTATTTTATTTTATTTATTTTTTTGTCTGTTAAAGAAATGCTTTAATCCAAACACACAAAAACTATAAAGCACTAAGAAATTTAAATATCTATGTCATAGCAAACAGGTGGCAATTCAACATCCGGGCTGCAGAGAATGCTTAAAGGAGACAGCAACGGATTAGACTCCCGTGGCAGAGGAGGCATTTTCCCAGGCAAAGTGGGTCCCAACTGTAACAGCTTTTTCGGTTCTCTATCCTCATCGAGGATTGTGAGAGGTACTCCATTCAAGAGGAGGTGTGCAATCTGGTGCTCTTTGGGCAGGTCAAAACTTTCAAAATCTAGAGGATTGAAGGGAAGGAAATTTTCTATTTCTGGATAGGTGTCATCCGAGGGAGGAACAGAGCTTTTTGCTTTAACTGTCTTCTCAGTCAGCTTTTTGGCAGAGATGTTTTGAGGGATCCATTAGTCCTTACTGACTTTTCTGTAGCTTGATTGACAGTTCCCAAGACCTTTCTAGCAGTTTTAGGTAAGGCTGCTGGAGTATCAAACATTTTGCCAACATGTGGTCTCTGTTGAGATCTCTCATCCCCCCAGACCCCAGCTTTGGCCCATCCTTAGGGGCCACATGGGTGCCTGGTTCTCCATTTTCCTTATCAACAAAGATCGGAGTAGCCATTCTGGATTACTTGTTCACTCACATTGCTCCCAGCAGCCAAACTCAGCCGAGACTCTGCCCAGGGGTCAGCATTTAGATGTGACTTGACCCAGGCATTGAGTGTCACTAGGACCCAGTCTCTTCCCGTCACTTGGTTCTACCTTTATGTTGGCTTCACTCTCCACAAGGTAACAAAATTGCTGCCAAAAATTCTCGGTCTACATCTTTTCAGGCTTAAACTGAAGTGAAAAAAAAGCATCTGTTTCCTCAGGCTACTACACATGTCTGGGATTCTCTGCGAGCCATCTGGGATCACTCATCCATCCCAAAGTAATCATTGTAGCCAGAGGGAACCAATCACTGTGGCTCAGGGAGTTCTGTGTGCCAGTCAGCCATGTCTGGGTCACCTGCCCACTCCTGGAGACCAATTGGAACTCAGAGATCTAGAAGGGAGAGAGGAGGGAGGGGGAGGTTGTTCCCTAAAGAATGTTCCAGGTACTACCACCACAAGGTGAGGGAACGGATGATGGACAAGAAAAACAACAAACATCCTCGACACACAAAAACGTATGTGGAGAAGGGAGTTCTTCTGGTTAGGCAGAAAGGCAGATCAAAAGATTTTATAAAGTCAGTGGTATCTGATATGGATTGTGTCCCCCAAGTTTTGTTTATTAGTAGCTTGATCCCCACTATGACTGTTGTTAAGAGGGTGGGAAATCCTGTCATAGTGATTGAAAGGTGGGGCCTTGAAGAGGTGATTAGATTCTGAGGACCATGCCTAGTGAATGGATTAATAATCATGGTCATGGGCATGGTCCTGAGGGCTTTAAAATGAAAGCAGTGAGACTCTCTGCTCCACCATTTTCTGCCATGTGAGACCCCTGGGTCACTGTCACCACCACCAAGACCACCAGATGTGTTCTTTGCACTGTGGACTTCCCAGCCTCCAAACCTGTAAGCAATAAATTTTGCTTTCTTTATAAATCAGCCAGTTTCAGGTACTTATGTTATAAGCAACAGAAATGGACTAATACAGTATCTGAGATAAACCTCAAAGGATGAGTGAAAAGAAAGAAAGGGGAAGGTACTGTATCTTAATTTCTTCAAATATCAATTGTCACTCCTCTGAATTTTAAGCTCCCCACAGAGATACAGTCTGTTGTCCACTGCTTTATCCCTAATGCCTGGCACATAGCGAGTGCTCAATAAACATCAGTTGAAGTGAATAAAGGAGATGCCTAAAGGGAGCATGTATTTTTAAGAGTCCATAACTGAGACGAACCTTCCTGTTGGATTAAACCAGTTCATCTCAAATGTTTGTTTTCAAGCAACAGAACCCTTTTTTCCAAATGAAATCTTACCTGGACTATGTGAAATAGAATCAGTTGCTGTGATGGAAGCAGGTGCTGGAGCCTCCCGCCACGTCTTCCCCACAGGCTCCCCACAGAGCCCCCTCCTCCTCAGTGAACACAGGGTCTGTACAAGGGTTTGAAAACCCCTGGCCTGAGAGCCAGGCAAGAGGTAGAGGAATGGAAGATGTTTGGAAGGAGATTGAGTTCGAATCCC